CCCCCCGGAAATCCTCCCACATGGAGTCAAAGTGCTCGGGGTGCGGTTGCAGTCGATCAATAGGGTATCGTGTCTTGCCGCTGGAGATCGATACCTCTCTGAATCGTGGGCAAGGTAGTAGCCAATGTCCGCTTCTGCTTTCCTTCAGGTTGTAGCTGCGAGTCCCTGCTGGAAGGACAAGCTCTCTGCGTCCGGGCCCGCGTAGATGTAGTATGCCAGGGCCGCGCTCCAGGATCGCATCGAGCTTCTTTAGAGAACTGTTGCCCAACAACGCAAGAACGTCGCTTCCAAGAATGATGGGCGCCGCGTACGTGTCCAGGTTGCCGCTGCCATCGCCCTCCTGGTAGATCTCCTGCGTACCGATAAGGGTCTTCCACTGCTGGTGGCAGTAGTCGGGTCCTCTTCCAACTCCATTAACCCCCAGGGGTTCTCGCAGTTCAGTCTTCTCCGTGTCGTGCTGGTACTGCTTGGCTTTCTCCGCTCGTTGTCGTGCCCAGCGTTCTCCGACGAGGTTGCCGCGCGCTCCCGGGCCCCCGAGGGTGCCCATCTCGCCGCCGTCAAGCCGGGTGCGCTCGTGTTCCAGGTAGGTCTCCTCACGGTTCCCCCCCAAGGTCCAGACAACTCCAGTGGAGTCTCCACGATCATCGCTAAAATCCACTCCGCCTGTGTGATTGTCCGGCTGGATCTGCTGGCCGTCATTGTCCTCTCTAACTTCTTCGTGTTGCCCGTCATGCTCGGTGTGTTCGTCATCATCTGGAATGACGACCTCGTCCGCTCCTCTCAGTAGTTCTGGGCGTTCACGTTCATGAGGATGTCCGGGCTGAAAGTAGGTCTCGGAGTCGAGGTCGAAGGATGACAGATCCACCTGCTGCTCGGGCACGCTCGACACCTTGCCCCAGCTCGCCGCCGAGTCCTGAACTCCGCTGCTCGCGCTCGGGGGCGTCACCATCTTCGCTGGAACGGGGCTTAAAATCAAGCCGCCTACGTTGATCGAGGAGGGGTCCTGCTTCTCGTCTGCATTCTTGACGCCGAGTATCTCCGATACCATCGGATGCGTCTTCGCGGGTGTTCCCATCGCTGCCTTCGGGAGAGGGGCTCCAGCGGCATGTGGCTCCGTTACTCTATCTCCGTCCTCGTCCTTCGGGGCCACTATCGATGAAAGTCCCAGGATATGTCTGATTCCAAACGTAGGTCCCGATGGCACGTCCGTGATCTCCCCGAACTTGGTGGTTCCCATGGTCGGCAGCATCGGGAAGTAGGGTCCTTCGCCCGGGGGCAATGCCGACCCTGTGGTTGGGGGCTCCATGCTTTCCGCCATCGGTCTCGGTCCAAACCACTCAGGGGCCTTGTCCTCGATGGCCTTTGGCTGCGCTGGCGATATCACCACGCCAGTGAAACCGTGCGAGCCCTCCATACTCGCACTCACCTTCTGCTCGTTGTCGTTCCTGGGTGTCTCCGTGGCAAAGAAGCTCACCGATCCAGAACCGTAGGCCGAGCTGCCTGTCGTCGCTGCTGTCGCTGTAGCCGACGTGTTGTTGAATCCGAACCATGGCTCCGCTGCCGAGGCTGCTGATGCCGGTCGAGGTCCATTCGCGACGAAATTGCCTTTTCCTTGCCCTTTACCTTGTCGGTGGGGGCAGTCTTTAATCAGGTGAAATTCGCTCTCACAACCCTTCGTGAGGCACTTCATGACCTTGCCGTCACGTCCAGTAGGATTTCGTGAGGCTTTTCCCTCGAAGTGGTAGCCTTTGCCTTGTCCGCGTTGATTAAAGGCTCCACCTCCACGAAACGGGATCAGAGATCCCTTGCCACTTTTGCCTTTTCCAAACCTGTGGAATCTCGTAGGTCTGCCTGTAAACCGTCGCCAGCGCTTCTTGTGAAAGACGTAGTTCTGGTAGAGGTACTGTTGGATGACCGCGTCGTCTTGGCCGATCTGTCCAGGGAAATCCGAGCCGTCCAAGTCCTCTCCGTGGTCGTCGTCGGTGCCCGTGTCGTTGTCCCCGTACTCGTTGCCGTAGTAGCTCTGCCACGGATCTGGCGCCGGCGGCGCTGCAGCAGTAGGCGCCCGGGGAGACGAGGGGGCCCGCGATGCTGCCATGCCTCCGCCAGTGTAGCCGTCTGCAGAATCATCTTGATGTCCATCGCCACCGCCGAAGTTGAACGTTGGGAAGAAGAACTGGCTGTGGCCCTTGCCCTTGATGCTTCGATTCACCGACATCGGTCCCTTCGCCAAAACGTGTCCGTACCGTCGAATATATATTCTACCAACTCCGCAAACTGCTGCTCCGTCATCAGCAGGTGGCCTCTGAAGTGGATCAGCAAATTGGTTCCACTCCGCAGGGCTACAGCCCAGGGCCGTCATCAGCATCCAACGGTAGCCCTGTGGTCCCATCGGAAAAATCCTCCAAGCGCCGCTGCTCGTCGTCGTGTGACCTCGAACCTGCTGAGCGTCTGATCTATGTTCTCGTAGCTCTTGCGGTAGAAGCCCAACAAGTCAGAGGTCGCCCTATTCTCGTTCTCGTCACCGAGCGGGGCGAATGACCTGGAAAGAACGAGCAGCAGTAGTTGCAGTCCTGTGAGTTGTCGCGCTCCTGCTCCATCACCTGGGTCAGCGATGGCTCCGTCTCGCAGCTGTTCCGGTGGAGTCCCTCGCTAAGCTCCTTGCTGCGCCTCCGAGTCGTAGTGCGACTGCTGGTCCTTGTTGCTCGGGCATGACCTCTCTCGCCGCCGCTGCAGCCCACATCGTCACATCTGTCAGCCAGAATCGAAATGGGTACTGCCTGTCTTGCTCTGGGCTCCAAGCCGGCGGGACCTTGAGGCTGCCCATAACCTCGAGATGAAGATGTTCCATCTCCCAAACTCTCGGATGTACGTGATCTGTGAGCAAGCTGACTCCAGTGATATAGAATGCTTCTTCACACCGAAGTTGTCCAGTGCCGAAGCCGTCGTAACGGATGTCGTAGTCTGCGGAGGGGCTGGACTTCACCTCGATGAAAGCCTCCTCCGCGCCGTGGGTCACCTCGATGACCCGCTTGAAGCCGGACTCCTCCGGCTGCCGCGCAGTGGCAGCGCTGAGCCCCAGCCCGAAGTGGACCAGGGCTCCGCTACCAAGTCGCGGGGCCTCTTTTCCCCGCTCGTAGTGCCCTCGGTGCACCACGCTAAGCTCCAGGGCCCTCACGCCCACGCATGTGCCCCGCGCGCGCGTCCTGCATGTGGCCTTGAGCCAACGCAGCGGCGGTCACGCCGCTGTGCCGTCGCCGTCGGGGCGGGGGTCCAGGGCCGTGTTCTCGACTTCCTCCTCCTCCTCGCCCTCCCCCTCCCCCTCCCCCTCCACAACTACTCAATATGAAAATACTCTCCCTCTTCCCCTGATGGCGTCAGGGTGATGGCCGCGCACCCTCCGCGTATTGTTTTTTACACACAAGATTCCCGAGAAATCCCGGGAAACGACTCTCGCTGGGGCGCTGGCGTCATTTTTTCCCAAATTGCTGCTCTCGTTGAGGCGCCGGCCTCATTTCTGCTCCCGAATCGTTCCGAATCGTGTTCCCGCTGCAGCGTGGGCCTCATTCTCGGATCGGTGTTTGGCCTCCGTCGTTCAGGATGGCGTTCTCGCCCCAGCGCGGGCCTTTTTCTCGCGCGCCCATCCGCCCGCCACCACCGCGCCGCACCGCCACCACCACCACCACCACCACCACCACCACCACCACCACCACCACCACCACCACCACCACCACCACCCCCACCACACCCACCACCACCACCACCACCACCACCACCACCACCACCACCACCACCACCACCACCACCACGCACACACGCACGCACGCACGCACGCACGCACGTGCACCACCACCCACTACGCACGCGCGCGCGGAGCCACAGGTCCGCTACGACACGCGTCCGCGGATAGAGAAAATCAGCGCCATGGTAAGGGATGGGAGGGAGGGGTAGGACGTCAGATATGACGCGAGCGCACCTAGCTTGCCCTCCCCCTCCTCCTCCTCCTCCTCTCCTCCTCCTCCTCCCCCCCCCTCCTCCTCCTCCTCCTCCTCACCCTCCTTCTCTCCCCCCCTCCTCCTCCTCCTCCTCCTCCTCCTCCTCCTCCTCCTCCTCCTCCTCCTCCACCTCCTCCTGCTCCTGTTCCTCCTCCTCCTCCTCCTCCTCCTCCTCCTCTCCCTCCTCCTCCTCCTCCTCAGGGCGGGTTGCGGTGCGGCCCGCCGTGCTCTTAGCGCTGTGCGAACACCGCGCTGCATCGCATCGCATGACCCGAACCAGACCAGATCGAGCCAGCCGAACTCGGCATCGAATATACAGTCGGACTTGATCGGACAGGACACGCGAGAGGACACAAGACCCTTCCGAAGGCCACATCGCCATAGGAGTGTAAGAAGGCACGTGTCGCGAGGCTCAGGACACAAGGGTACCCTTGAGCTGGCAGGGTCGACCTATTAATCAGGGCCGACTGTATTCGATCGGGTCAAACTGGGCCCTGTGGTGGTGGTGGTAGGTGGCGTTGGCCTCGGCTGCATCGAGTTTCGACTGCTGCTGTCCTGGGGGGAGGGAGGATGAGGGAAGCGGAGGGTGGTGGCGGAGGAGGTGGCGCGCGGAACGCGCGCGGAGGGCCCCTCTGCCGTGTCCGCCGCGAACGAGCGGCGGCTCCCCGCCTGTGGCCCGGATTCCCGCCGTCGAGCTCCGAGGTCCGGCCGGGGCCCGCGGGCCGGCGGGCTCGCTCGAAGGCGGGACCCTCTGGGCAGCCGCTCGCTGGGCGAGGGCGAGACGAGGAGGGCGAGGCGAGGAGGGCGAGGAGGGGGGCGAGGAGAAGGGCGAGACTATGAGGGCGAGGAGACGAGGAGGGGGGCGAGGAGGGCGAGGAGGACGGCGAGGAGGAGGCGGGGAGGATCTGTCCGCGGCGTGCCGCTGCTCGTCTGGGCGTTGGTCACTTGGGGGGGCGATGCAGTCGAAAAGCTATCACAAGGAACCTTAACCTTCAATGATTTTTTGGAGGGAGGAGATGGAGAACCGCCGCGAAGCTTCAAAGGCTGCCACGCCGCATGCGCTGCCTGTTGACAGCGCCAGCACTAGCAGGAGGAGCCACATGTAACAATTGTTGCCCAGGCGAGCGGCCGGGGATGAGGCGAAAATTCGGGCAATTATAACGATACGAATTCACACGGAAATGTATCGGCGCTGCGCCGGGAGCAGGGCGAAACGAGGGGAGGAGGAGAGGGAAAAACAAAACTACGAACAAGCAGCACTGCCACCACGGGAGGTCCAACACCCGCTGGGAGCGCAGCAGCTCCTCCGAGCCGCACGACATAACTCGTGCATCAGACACTCGCGGCAGGAACCCCCTAGTATTCCAAAGGACCAGGCAGAAAACATGGCGCCTCATCTGTCGGGACGGGGCAGCCAGAAGAGAGAGCTGGACTTACGGCATATCAAGAGAGAGCTGACACTATCCCCAAGATAGTAAAGCATAAGGAAAATGACTATAGACCATGTGCAAGCAGGTCGACCCGGGCTGCCAATGCAGCGGAACACCACGGAACATATGTCAAGAGAATGGCGAGGGAGGGGGAAAAGGGAGAGGGGAGGGAAGAGGAGGAACCTTTCATGAGGAACGAGGCCCCCTTTTTTCCATCAGTTGAAAAAACTTCGATTCTCCACAGAAGACCTAGGGAGCACCTAAGACAAACTGCAAGACAATTAAGAAACACCGAGCCCCTCCCCAACGAAAAGGGTTCATTCTTCAGCAACCCGACTGCTAAGGGGGGGTGCAAGAAACGCGCACAGTTCGTTCCCCCTTTGGGCCCCAAGGAGGGGGCACTACGGGGCCCTCCCAGGCAGAGCCCCGAAAGTGCACGGAAAAGGCACCGTTCTTTGCCAGCCCATTTGTGAGCACGGGGGAAAAGGGTCCCGAGGGAACCCAGCCCTGAACCCTGAGGGCCTTCCCCCAGCACGAGACCTCCGTCCCGAGTCGATTCCTGACAGCCCCGGGCCCGCGGAGGGCCCCGAGAGCTTGAAAACGTGGAGAAACATCGGGGACCCGCTTTCCCCTCATGGCAATGATGGCCCCTGCGTTGTGCAACGCCGGAGACTCGTGGGATCGACCGTTCCCCCGGGCACACCGCGGCGCGGTGGGGCAGGAGACTTCTCGTGTCGTGGGGCGCCTGCTCTGTCAAGGCCGCCCGCTCCGCCCGCGCTTCCTCGTGCCCCCCCTTCTCTACGTGTCCACAAAGCTGAACCTGAACGGTGTTTTTCGTTTTCGTTTTGTTTTCGTTTTCCCTCGCGTCTGTCTCGAATCCGCCTTTACCGCAAAACGAAGTCGAAATGAAAACGGCCCATGACATCACCAAAAACACCCTTTAGGTTCAGCCCTGCGTGTCCACCCTCCTTGTAGCGGTGCTCTTTAATGTCCATGATCCTCAGGATCCTCCCTCCCCTTGCTGGGCCGCATCGTCCTTTTGTACCACCCAGTCATAAATCCTCCCGCTCCTCTGCCTCGCCCCTTTCCCCATCTTCTCGAGCTTCATCCTCCGCATTATTCCTGGGGTGATTGTCCCAGTCGTGCACATACATATCCTCGTATACGCCTATTCCGAAACTAGATATAAAGAGAAGAGGGAGGGGCATAGAGGAGGGAGTCGCAGGGGGAAGCGGGCAGACGGAGAACAGATGAAAGTATAACTAGGGATGAGGAACATGGGCCAGGAATGGCCCGGACAGAGGAGCAGAAAGACGAGCGAGGTGGAGGGATGGTGGGAGGAGGCCAGAGGCAAGGAAGCGGGGGCAGGAAGCAGGAGGCAGGTGGGGAGGGGAGGAGGGCGACAACTGGAGGACCAGAGAAGCACCAAGGACCGACGGAGCGGAGCTGACACGCAGCGACGCGTGGCCACGGCCGGGGCCGCCGAGGCGCGCCGAGCGCGCCCGCGGGTGCAGCTCACTGGCCCGGCGGGTCGGCGAAGGCCACCTCGGGCCGGCCGCGGGTGCCCTCGGGACTCGGCGGCGCCCACAAGCGGGTGGGCGCGAGAGGGGCGGGCTTCTCGGGAGACGAAGACGGGACGAGGATCCACTCGGGGGAAGCTGAGTCGAGCATCTCTGAGATCTCGCGGCTCTGGAAGAAGTCTCGGGCGCCGCGGCCTTCTCAGAGCGTTCCGGAATGCTCTTAGTGTTCTGAAAGAACGCTCGGGAACATATTCATCCTCGTCCTAGCCGCGCGCGACCTTAGACGGCAGGGGCCTTGGTATATTGGCCTGGAGGCTTATCAGAAAGCGTCTTAGACGGGTAGGAGGGCCTGCCTTCACGCAAGTCCCCCCCCCGCTTTATTCAAGGGCCGCCACCTTCTTGGCGCCGCCAAGGGACGGGAAGGAGAAAGCAAACCCGGCCGAGCAAGACTCCCGGCCGGCCGCCTCCAGCCAATCCGCGGGGAAGGGGGGGGCGGATTCCTCCTCCATCTCCTCGACTCCCCGCTCCCCCTCCGCGTCCTCCTCATCCATCATCGCCCCTCCTCTCCCCTCCTCCTCCTCCTCCTCCTGCTCCTCCTCCTCCGCCTCCTCGCCCCCTCGTCCCCTGGAGCCTTCTCCTGGTCAGTTCGAGGAGCTCTCCGCTGCGGGCTGCACGGTGACAGCGGCGAACTTGCCTGGTCTTCCTCTTCCTCGGGAAGAACGTTCCATGGGCTCTCGTTGCCTCAATCGGGCTCGCTACAGCGCTCCAGAGCAGCACATACAAATACTGGCTGAAGCTCACAAAAATGCTCGGCAAGCCTCCGCAACTAGCCCTTCCTGAAACTTCACATAGTGCCAGTTCCGGTCGCAGTGAGGCCGGTGGCACTGCACATCCTGCCCCCAAGCCCGAACGATCCCCCAGCAGGCCTCGTGCTGGAAGCGTCCCCGTGCCTGTCCACCTGGGTCGCTCCCACTCGTGCCCCAGATCCCCTCGCAGGCCTATTGGTGACATTGCCGCTCAGCTTAGACGCTTCGAGTCTAAGAAGGTGCGTTCCACGTTTCCCTATATGCCGCGCAGTGTCAGCCCCCTCGCAACTCCGCCGAGCCAGCTCGGGGTTCGGACAGAGCAGATCTGCACTGGTTGCAGCAGACTCACTACGACAATATTCGCGCGCTCGCCACTCCTCGCCACTACGGTGACATCCATGCCTATGCGGCTGCTCTTGCGGCGGGACTGTCTTTCGAGGCGGCTGTCCAGTAATTACGGTGGTGCTCTGCCACCAGAGGAGCGCCCGTCTCTTCCTGCCCGCTCGAGCTCGCAGAGCGACATCGGGTCTAACCAGAAGGGCAGACCTGCTAGGATGACCGCTCTACCGTTCGCCCACCGACTTGCAGGACTTGTCAAAGACAAGGCTGGAGTGCCGCGCGCAGCAACAGTGGGCTCTCCCACTGCACGGAATGCAAGACGCAAAGCAGACAATCGCAATGCGATTATGGCGGCAGTCGTTCCCACGATGGTCGTTGGCTCGGGGGCCATCCGTGTGATGTGGGCAAGGGATTTGATCGCAGGCCGTGCTGCGTATTCTACGCGCCGCCTGGCGAGCAGGACCTTCTGTGCGAGTGGTTCTCGCGCCGCTCTCAAGCTTACCCTGTCGTCTTCCAGCGTCGAAAAGGGAAGGACTCGCAAGGTCAGGCGTCGACCCTGCTCCTGGGCCTTTCCCTGCCTCCTCGTCGCTGGTCGCCCACATTCGCCCGCGATGTTTTTTTGTTTTGGGGGTGGGGCGGTCCCTCCAGTCCCCGCGCGCTGGCGGCCTCTGTCTCTCCAGAGCTGCGTTCTTCGTGCCCTGTACCTGCCCTCTCGGCACCTGCAAGTCTGGACAGAGCCGCGCAGCGTTTCCGTCCCTCTGCCCTCTCGTCGTGGGTCGCCCACGTTCGCAGCTCTTGCGCATGTGGGCTCCGAGTGCCACCCATTCTAGACCATTGCGGCGGTGGCGCCATGCTTGAATTTCCCATCTCTGTCAGACTCTGCATCGCATTGTCGTTCCTCCGCTTCGGGAGCTCGTTGTTCACTTGCCGTGGCCTTGCTCTGCTGAATCACACTTAGCATTGCGTGATGATGTGCCTAATGGCATATACTTGTGGATGCTGTTTGTGTGCACAACGTGCCTGTTCTGCACTGTCAGTTCCAAACTGAGGCTGTTTCGGGGGCAGCCAAGAGGGGGGCGTCCACGAGAGGGGGGCGCAAACTACAGGTTATGAGCCGAAAGCACTCCCGAGTTCGATTTCGGCATGGCGCCAGTGCCAAGAACGCCCAGAGCTGGACTGTGGCGGGACTCTCGAGAGATCGTTGACTTATTATGACGTTATGCGGCCGCCTTGAGACAAGCAGCAGCGCCGTGGAGACGCCGCGCCAGCAGCAGCGCAGCCACAGCAGCCCCAACCACCGCCGCAGGCCTCCGCAGCATCGCAGCCGCAGTAATCGTAACCAGCCTCTTCTGTCGCCTCAAGCAGGGCGTCACAGGTGCTTCCTAACAGAAAGAAAAAGAGCAATGGTCGCCACAAACAAGGGCGTCGCAGGTGCATTATGTCCGCATTACGAAGGGCTCCACGAGCGCCGATCTACAAGGGTTAGGTGGCTCACAACCCTGGGCCGTGGTAAGTACCCGCTCCGACAGCCAGGGGAAGACGCGATGTCAATAAAGAGGGGCGAGTTGTTTCCTCACTTCTCCGAAGCTGATTCCTGCTACGTCGCTGATTCAGCCTGCGGCAAAAACAAACGCTGCACACAATCGGAAACGGGTGTCGTTCGTGACAGTGCCGCCCGAAGGGAGCATCTAGTGTGAAGAGGGCGCCCACCGTTGGCACTGCTCGCACGCTGGGGTGGGCAGATGACCAGATGTGCCCTCAAAGTGGACATGTTCTGAAGTCCGTAACCAAAAGGATGTGAGTTGTGTGTCTCGTATCTTGCAACGCGTTTGCATGCGAAAAGCCTACCGTGTTGTGGACATGTTGGCAAACTACAGGTCATCAGCCGAAAGCTCTCCCGAGCCAGATTTCGGCATGGCGCCAGTGCTCAGCGCGCCCAGAGCTGGACTCTGGCGGATCTCTCAAGGGCTCCCAACTTCGCGCTTCGCGCTGCGCGAAGTGCGAATAACTTCGCGCTCTCGCGCCGCCTCCCAGGGGAGAAGAGGAGGATGAGGAGTAATCGGAGCCGAACCGCGAAGCGCGACTAACTTCGCGCCCTCGAGGGCGCCCTTGATCTCTCGAGTGATTGTTGAGTTCCAATGTCATTTCTGTGGCCGTCCTGAGACCAGCAGCAGCGCCGTGGAGACGCCGCGCCAGCGGCAGCGCAGCCGCCCCAGCCCCAGCCACAGCCGTATCTTGCAACGCATCTGTATGCGAAGAGTTAATCGAGTTGTGGAGATGTTGGCAAACTGCAGAGGCGAGCGAGGCGAGCGCGCGAGTTCGGTCCGGCGGGACCGCCCCTCTTAGGGCGGCGCGGGGGGGCCGGATCCCTCAGGAGACGTGTTGGGGGCAGGAGTCGGAGCCGGAGCCGGAGTCGGAGAGATGGATGGGAACCGGAGTCGGAAAGGTGCAAACTGCAAAGGGCCCTCTCAAGAAGCAGCCCGTCCGCCCTCCTCCGGCCCGCATGCGCGCACATTTCGCGCACCAGCTGCTTATCTCGCCATCGCGTATTTTCCATGCGTTTTCCGATTTCGTGTGTGTGTGTGTGTTTGTTCTTTTCGCTAGATGACTCAATCTGCTCCTCGAGGGCGCTCGCCAAGAACAAATACCACGTCCGAGCGATGCCAAGTTTTTCACTGATGATGCAGGGAGCTCCACGTCCAATATCGGCGGCGCGCCCAATGGGGGAAGGCAGAAGAGGCTGGCCTTCCGAGAAGATTCAGAAGCCCTTCGGCCTCCCGAGAAGCTTCTGAGCCTTTTCCGAAGACGCAGGTGGCCTTTCGGAAGGCCCGAGGTCTCCTGAGAAACCCAGCCCCCGTCTGAGAAGGCCTGCATCCTCTCACTTCCCCCTCGGCGCACCGCCGACCCAAACTGCCAGCCATGTTTCTTGCCGTCGCTCCGACGTCCATTCCCCGAGCGCGTTTCGGTTTCGTGCGCCTATTTTTCCGCAAGCTGACGCGAAAGACTCCTCGATTCTCCTCGCCGAAGGAAAATGCACACGTCCGAACGATGCCAGAAGTCTCTGGAGGTCCCCACGCGCACCGCGAGGTCCGCGCGGAGGCCCACGGAGGCCTGGCACGAGGTGCACCCACGTGGCTGCAGGTGGCGGCAGGGCTGCGTCCGCAAACACTCACAGACTGCGTACAAGAGTGTGTGTTCGCGTTCGCATGCCCTACCAATGCCTTTCCGCCGGCGCAATCACTCTGCCTAGCCGCCGACGCAGAAAGTGTGCGTGTGTGTGTGTGCGTGTGTGTGTGTGTGTGTGCGTGGTGCGTGCGTGCGTGCGTGCGTGCGTGCGTGCGTGCGTGCGTGCGTGCGTGCGTGCGTGCGTGCGTGCGTGCGTGCGTGCGTGCGTGCGTGTGCGTGTGTGCGTGTGTGCGTGTGTGCGTGTGTGCGTGTGTGCGTGTGTGCGTGTGCGCGTGTGCGTGCGTGCGTGTGTGCGTGTGCGTGTGTGCGTGCGTTCGTGTGTGCGTCAACGAGGATGAACGCGCGCGACTGTCCGAAGCGCCCGGCGGCCCCCCGGCAAGTCGCAAGCGGCGCGACAGCAGCTCCAGTCCCCCCTCAGCGCCACGCGCTCGCTCCAACTAAGCCGGCTGCGCCTGGGGCCCACAGAAGCGACGCCCCCCAGACAGCCCCGCGCTCAGCAATGGCGGGGGGCGGCCCAGCCCGAGCAGCGCTCCCGCAGCCACCCAGAGACGCGCGCCCGTCTCCCAGCCCCGATCGCGGGCAGGTGCTGCAAGCCGAGCCGTCCAGCGGGGGCATCGCGCGAGGCGGCGGAGAAGAGCCCGTCCGTAAGACCCCCCCTGCACCGATGAGCAGCACAGCCCGGGGAGGTCCAGGAGGGGTCGCGGAAGAGACGCAGCGGAGCGGGCCCCGCCATGGCGACAGTTTGACCCCCCCTTCGCACCTCTGTTCTCCCTCGCGACTACAGCCCCCATCGCGACGCCTCGGACCAGAGTGACCAGATCTACCTCAAGCAACGGCGAAAGGTGCGGTGGCAACCGGGCTGGAACTACAACGCCAACAAGAACGAGTCCTGGCGGGAGGTAGTCGACCGCCTCAAAAAGGAATGCGGCCCCATGCTGGCGATTGGCTGGAACGCCATTTGCAGCTGCAAGCTGGGGCAACACTCGTCCAAGGACCCCAGCCGACACTCCCCCGATGTCTGTAACGGTTTTGTTTTGACCTCATCCAGGCCAGCTTCGATCTCCGCACACTCTGCTGGCACGGAGGCATCCACGTCGACTGGGATGCCGAGTGGGGGCGCGAAGTGGACAAGAGGAGGCACAGCGCACCGGCCGCCAAGGGCCAGAAAAAGGCACCCCCCCCCCGCAGGGGAAGGGCAAGCGTCCTGCCGACTCTTGGCCCTCGTCGCCTGCCAGCCCCCCCCCCCTTCACCGCGTCGCTGCACCTATTCGGCGCCCCCCCCGCGTGCCCCCAGCTGACGCCAGGGGCTGCGCTCGCGCCCTCGCCGCCCGGCCTGCTGCGCCCCAAGTCCAGCGGTTGCGGCTCTCGTCAGCGCTGC